ACAATTAGTACAAGGGATAGAGGCGTAAATATTTATTTATATCAAATGGCAGACGTTTTGATAGTTATCATTAGCCCTGGAGCTGACTTTGGGGCTTCATAGAGAGGAGGAGGAACATCAAAGTGACAAAAAGTCGAGAGGGGAAACAGAAGAGTGATTCACAGATGTAAAAGAGAGACGAACAGGCACAAAGGGATTAGTAAGGTAAGATGAGTACTGTGAAAGTGGTCGAAAATGGCCTACAGTGGGGTGATGGTAGTTTGAAGTGAGAAGTCAACTGCCGGTTAATAGACTTTTTGCCATATGAGTATACGTTGCCCAGGGTGCACCACGTGGAGGCAAGTCTATTGCGCACTCCGAGGCGTAAATATTAAGACCAGTTTAGAGAACCAATCAATGTTAAAAAAAGGAAAAGAGCTTCGACAATTCGTGTACATTATAACTTAGTAATTTACGCCACTGAATCTTCAAATTAATACATAACATGGTGTAGCTAGATTAATCCTAATTCGAACAGCGACCACGCTGACAATTCAGAGATTATGTTTATATTAATTGAAGTAGCAATATGAGTACAATGCCTAAAATGACGAGAGTAAAAGTTTGAACTTCCATCAAAATTAAAGCTTAAATTATGGTCTTGAAATTTTAAGAAAAGTTGGAAGTGGGAAAATTATTAGGTAGTGATTATTGAAGGAAATAGTATAGCATTACGAGAGTTTACTACAACGTTAACATTGCAAACCTAGTTTCAGAAGCAATTGAAGCTGAAAATCGGACGGCCAATAGAACTGCTTGCTTTATTATTCCAAGTGTACTTTTTGTAGAAGAAGTGAACCACATTATTAAATGAGGAGAATTTATGAAAAGATTTAAAAAAATGAGATGAAAACAGTGTAGCTGCTAGAAGATGAGGCATCAGAGTACATGCGGAAACGTATACCTTTGTAAAACCCTCGTGTTTACACGTACTTTATCTAAATATTTAAATATTTCATCTCTAGAAACATAAAATGACAAGCAATGGATGGAATATTTTATCATAAATGAAATGCTAATTGATTGTAATAATTGAAACCGCGTCACTACCTATTTCGTATCAATCCACTACTATAATAATTGTAGTTTATTAGCGACACGGGGATATAAAAAGAACCCTGACCTCATCAGGACCCAGCCAAAGTCGTTGGCCATTGTGAACTTCTCCATTTCTAACGACGATCTCGAGAACAGGATTTCCAGCACCCGGAACATTGCTGAAAACCCTTGTCACCCAACATTCAACAAAACCTTTAATTAGAATTGATTGAGCATCATTGCTCACTGGTGGTGTCCTAAGGACTGAGGCCAATTCAAGGATCTTTTGATGAGGATTGGAGACCTCGTGAAGGAAATTCAGAAGATTATTCATGCCATAGCCGGAAACGCACGATACTGCGAACACTGGCATATCCTCGCCGTAGCAACTACAACTACAAGAAAGTAAAACATTTTAGAAGGCTCAGATGCGCAAGACGTTGAAACAACTTATAACATGTTGGTTTTAACCACAGCATTTATCAATGATGCACAAATAACAAAATAATAAATTTCGAAATAAGTAAAAGGCCATGGGAGCTAGAGAAAGGACATAAAAACTAAATGGGAATGGCCAAAATAGCTTTAAGACTATGAATTTACGAGCAAAATACGCCAGTTACGCTGTTCATTTAAACAATAAAGAAGTAAGGCTCTAAATTAGGTCAACTGGACAATAAATACCAATAAATCTGGAACCTGGAGCTTAAAACTTGAAATCGCCATAACTCTAATTAAAGCTCTTAACAAATCGGACTTATCCTCCATTTCATCTTCACCTCCCATTCTTAGATTAAGCTTGTAATTTTTCTTAAAGCACGAACAATGGGCAAAGGAAAACATCGGGTTGTTCTCAACGAGACAACTTAAAAGAACTAAGATAGCTTCCTGGATTCGTGATAAGCAACTATGACACCCCTTCACTCTTAAATGAGAAAAAGTCGAGAGGGGCGACAGAAGAGTGATCCACAAATGTAAAAGACAGGGAGACACAAAGGTAGAGAAAAGGTGATGCGAGTACTGTGAAAGTGGTCGAATATGACATACAATGGGGTCATGGTAGCTTGAAGTGAGAAGACAACTGCCGGTTAATAGACTTTTTTGCCGTATGAGTATATGTTGCCCAGGGCGCACCACGTGGAGGTAAGTCTATCGCACACCCCCCCCCCCCCTCCCCAAGAAATATAACTAGAAAAATACTACGTTATTCTGAGGACTATTAAGATAATGGCCGACTAAAATTGGACTTATTCAAGTCTTGAAAATGTCAGCAAAAGTAAAACATTCGGCAGTGGAATAAAGCCGAGGTGAATATACGTAAGAATTAACTAAATTTTCCCATGATCTATAACCCATTTCAACATCCATAAACCACGTAATAATTGATTCCAGCATTCATTAAATATATTACTTATAGTGATTTCTAGGTTAATTAACCACTTCACACGGCATAGACTTGCAGGAGCTAAAATATTTGAAGGAGAACAGTTCACCTAAAACAACCATCTTAGGCTCCTTACTGTCGTAAACAGCAAAAGGCTCGATAAAAAGGTACGGTCAGTGAGATAATTGGGATTCTTCTGAAGGCCTGTTCGGAACAAGAAAATGGATCAAACACCTAGGGACGAATAACTATATTAAATGGAGATCAGGTCTCTCGCGCATATTGTCACTTACATTAGAATTAAGACTATATGTAAAAGGGCAATCTGAGTTATCCATGAATAAAAAGGGAGAGAGCAGGTTAAAAAATAGTGCCGAAAAAAGTTCCCATTTGATGCTTATCTTACGATGTAGACTTGAATGGACGATTAGACCTATCAAACAAAATCTACCAGACACAACGCTAGTTTATGTTAAGTGACTAGAAGGGAATGAATATTCATAAAATCAAACCTTGGCTCCTAATAGTAATGCAGTAAGGATTTTAAAGTATTTAAAGGAAAATAAAAACGTCATAAAAACACTTTTAATAGCACAATATAGTATAAAAGCACCACAATCATAAAATGATATAGCAGTACTTTATAATTACTTTTCTCTTACGTAGTTCAACGATGCCTTAAATACGAATATACATAACCATATGAAGAACTTATGCAAAATCAGATAAAAGACAGCAATAAACTTAGAGCAACGGAGTATACTACTTACCCAGTGGCGTTAGGACTTATTCCATCAGCACCTGTGGTATAAATTTTGATAGTTTTTAAGACCTCCAGAATTTTTCCCCGAAGCTGAGCAATGACAGAACTGTAAACATCTTCTCCATCATGAAAGTCAGCCACCGAAGTGACAGATATTTTCGACTGTGCTCCAATGTATGGAGTATCCAGAACAAGATCGAGCTTAGAAATAACTACAGCAATTGGTAGGCCAAGTGCAGCGGCAGTGCGAGCATGGGATAGACCGTCTACAGAAAGTCCTACTGTTGCGGAAACAACAAAGAGGCAGAGGGTTGGTTGATAAGTGGTCAGACCAGAAAATGTTGTACGCTGGTACTTGAAGTGACCCGCCAAATCAATGAAAGTAATTAGGCGGTTGGAATTGCGTATAACCTAGAATAAAAGGGGAAAGATAAATTTGTTAGAAATATCATATTCCTAGTGTTAAAGTAGATATAGCGCGATTGAGATTGCATCAAGATAATTAAAAGGTTTGTCGAAATATCTTATTTCAATATTCCTAATTAATAATGAATAAACGAGGCACGTTTAAAAAATCCTTATTCTACGCAGATAATCATAAACAATAAATAAAATAACCAGATTATTTGATGTACACCTAGGTTAGTGATAATGCAAAGATATTATTTTTTAACTAAACAAAGTTATACCTAGAATAACTGGCTAGAGTGAAAAAATATAGACAACAAAAGAGAGGGATGAATACTATATTTTCACACGATGAAAACTAACATTATCTCTCAACATTTAAACCAGACGAGTTTCAAAGAAAAAGCCAATTACCTCGTCAATTGTACGTTTATTTAATTGCTCCTTTAAGCGCCGTCGATTAATTAGGCGGCCAGAGGTGTCAAATCCAATAACTTCTGAACTGAGGCTACTCGTTCGGCCAGACTGAACTTCGTGGAGATGGCAAAAAATGTTCAAACGAGCTCTTCCTCTTCCATCGTCCATAATACCTTCCGTTAGGATTCCAAGAAGCGTTGATTTCCCTACATCGACACTGCCAAGCATTGCAACTCGCATATCTGGAATCTATGGAAGATTTTTATTTACGGATAACTAGAGTAAATTGTCATACTTACACCTTGGTTGATAGAAACCTTCCATTTAGCTTGAAGCTCTATTGCCTTCCTTTGAGGAGATGACGCTGAGCTCCCGTCGGGAGATGATAGAGTACACTCGCGTAAAAGGCAAATATTGACACCCAATTTTTCAGCCATTCTATAGACAGTTTGAAGAGATGCTGACATCTCACGCGCAGTTAGACCGGTAACTGAACCACAATCATCGACACCTAACCGATAAATTGCTTGACCTCTACCCTCATTAAGTCTCCATTTCATTTGAGTCATTAAATGCTCCAATCGATCGGCAGTAGGATTGATTAACTTGAGCTAGAAATCAAAATACGTTATAAATACGAAGATTATACTTTATATTCAATATTTCCTTCTTCCGGTTCCGGAGGCAAGTCAAAGGGCAGCTTTCTTGATCCGGGAAAGCTATGCGATTGAGTGAGAACGGTTGCTAATTGAGATTTGGCCATACAAGGCAGAGAATTATTCTTAATAATAGATGTTTGATTAAGCGCTTTGGTAGTTGAAATGCCTTCCAGGATATTAGAGGATCCTGAATTATGGAAAATTTCATTCGAATGCACACTCTCTGACGATATGTCATTTGCAAAAAATAAAGCTAATTGATCCATTTTGACTTTATATAGTAAACCAATCTATTTGGTGTATAAAATGAAACCTTCGACGTCTTTTACGGGTAAAAAACATAGGAAAACACACAGGCAAACTGTTCACATAAACCTAATTTATAGTCGCCACCTAAAATTAAAAAACACTCTTTTTGATTTGCTTTGTAATCAAACGTAATAATAATTTAAAAAATTTAGAATTTATGAGTTTATGTTATTATTATGATACAAATAGTTTATCACTAACAGAGTTAAAGCAAATTAATTGTATAAATATTTTTTGGAAAAATATTTAAGAATGATAGAAATTAATAAACTATTTTGTCTTGGGTTAATTTGTAAGCAGTGCTTTAACGTACTCCTACCAGCGCAACATTTTGACTAAGCGTTAATTGTGTGCATATGGCTATGTTTGCTAGGTTTGCCTCTGCCTTTACTAGAAGGTCACAGCAATGCCCTCTATGGATTAACTCGACCTTGCTGAGAAATTTTACTACGTCTCAGAATGCGCTTTCATCTGGACCCTCATTCAAGTATATACTCAAGCACAACAACCTTTCGGACGCTGAAAAGTCTAAAATTGAGCAAGAAGCCAAGGATGCCTATGTAGACTGGCTTCCATTTGGAATGAACTCCTATGACAAAATCGATGATACTGCAAACTATAAAACGACTACCTTCATTTTGATAGTTTGTTTTACATTTGGACTTTACTTTACTTTCTGGTATCGTCCTCGCGGCATGTGAGTTGTTTTTTGCAAATTAAATTCTATATAATTTCATATACGTTTAATAAAGCTTTAAAATGATATTATTTTAGCGAAGCTGATTGGGCCAGACGTGAGGCTTTCCTCGAACTTGAGAGAAGACGTAAACTTGGTCTTCCCCTTGTGGATCCGGATTTGATTCCTAGAGAGCGAGTGAAGTTGCCATCTAAGGAGGAATTGGGAGATGATTTCAAAATAATCATATAAATGTAGTGTTGAATTTACCTTTAATACATGTCTATACTGTAGTTCATTTAGCATTTTATTTGGTAAATTTTCCTATAGCCTCGAGGAACCTAGCATTTCCTTTGATTTATTTGTCTTTTATGCTTCTCTTAAGCTTGATGCTCTGTGATCTTTCTTTCATTTCGTTTTTTTATCGAATTTTTACTAAATTTCTATTTATGTTGATTTAAGATTATCAACAGTCCGTAGGACAGTGATAATAGAATATTGCATCTTTAATTAAACTAATTTCTTAAATCTTATGAGGTAGTATCCCAGCAATTCCCGATGATTAGTGAAAATGTTTCTTCTTCTATATCTATTTACTCCCTGGTTGAACTTTTTCTCGTTTCGTCAGGTTTGCGCTCTCTGTACACGCTCATTATTTCAATTCAATTGCCGAAAATATCTTTTCTGGATATAGTGACATCTTGATTTTGGTTAGCAACACGGTGTTAGGAAGTGAGTTTGCATGGATAGATTAAAATTAATTGCCATATTCTTTAAACTCATGTTACCTAACATGTAGACTAATAGAAAGTAATGACTGGTTGTGGATGGGTTTAAAGCAGTGTTATAATTTTGCAGCTGTGTGATAGTGAAGCAAGAAATTCCGTGCACTCTTAAATGGACGATTCGGAAAGTAAAGCCACTTGGTCGAAATATCTCGGTAATTAGATCGGAGACGTATCAATTAAAACTAAACCCAAACTTTGATATATTACTCCAAGACCGATCGATCCGCCGCTTAATGTCTATGGCAGATAACACGCGAGCATTCATCATTTTGACATTTGCCTCGAGTTCCATACATGGTACTGGTAGTATCTTTTGGAGGCTTGCTTATCTTCCTATTTGATTTTTCTTTGATCCATGAGTCACAGATAGATTTTGACTTAGTACTTACTTTTTCTAAGTAGTATTATTAATAAATAATAGCAACTAACCTTCCGGTTATTCCGTCCATGTCGCAAGTGTAAAACCTACAGATTGTTTAAGCTTAGTGACATAAGAAATGCATAGTATTAGATTAAGGAGCTGAAAAATTAGATGCTAATTATAAAACTACCGTTTGGATGCGATACATTTGATGGCCCTCTTATTATAAATCAAAATCTACTTTGGCGCAAGTTTCTAATAAGTTGATAAATTTTGTTCGTCACGCACACACTTGCTTTAAACGATTGAACTTCAATAATAGCAAAAGATATGTGTTCTAGCTCTTTACTTAAAGGTGTGAGTAAGGGGAGAAATTTTATCCATTCTGCCTTCGTTTGCATTAACTTTTAAACCTCATATGTTATCAAAGGTGGCATGTAAGTAAAACCAGACAAATACGTATACTTTATGCACTACATAGCAAAGAATCTAGGGCATCGCCACGAAACATTATATTAGCGGTATATGCGCACTACCTCACAGGTGCTCATGTCGTATAGTTCTTTATAATAGGCTCGGAATGAAGCCTCCACTGCCGATAAGGTGAATTTATTCTTAGATTAATGGGGGGTGTGCGATAGACTTACCTTCACGTGGTGCACCCTAGGCAACGTATACTCATACGATAAAAAAGTCCAGAAACCGGCAGTTGACTTCCCACTTCAAACTACCATGACCCGACACAACTGTTACATTCGACCTCTTCCATAGTGCTCACCTTACCTTTTTCCCACTTTTATGCCTATCCCTTACATCT